AAATAAAATGATCAAAGTTACCCCTACAAGTTTTAGGGATATTTAGGTAATTTTATTCTTTTAGATTATTTTTTTATATAGTTTTTAGGTGCGTGAGGATAACAATTACAACCATGTATTGAAATTTAAGGGAAATTTATGTAAATATCTGATAGATTTTTTGTTAGTACGAAAATATCAGAAACTTTCCGTTATTACATAGATGCCCATTTTTTCAACTTCATATCACTTTTATTTTAAAAAAGATGAAACTACCTATTTTCGGTTTTCGAAAAATCAATATTTTTTAATTTCCAATTTTTCAAAAATCGAATTTCAAAAACTGAATTTTTAAATATCAATATTATATGCCTAAATATTTCAACTTGGGGTTTATTGACTTTTTGGTTATCATGTATGCCTCTATACTTTCATGCAATGGTTTAAAGAGCGGAACGGTGACCCGGATCGGGCACTTAAAAAACTGATCCGGATCGGGAATCGATTGAATCGGTCGGATTAAAGCTTCAAAAAAATATGAAAAATAACTAAAATTCATTATAAATGTTGTTTTTTAGGAATCCAATAAGAAATAAGGGTACTACATTATTAACTTTCATTTTTTTCATCAATTTGTGAATATTGATATGTTCTTTCCCTGTATGAACTTAAGTATTAAATTTGCATCACATAAAAAAAAAATCATAGCATTATCATGGATAAAATATATAATTATACATGGAGTATAATAAAGAGTAGACTAAATCAATGAAAGAATGGCCATTAAAATATCGTTTTGGCGAAAAACCCTAATCCGCTAAAAAAACCCAAATTATTACAACCTAACTAACTATAATCCAAAATTATTACAACTTAACTAATTATAATAGTATATACTTAAATTATAATTATTAGTTTACATTTTATAATTATTTTATTAGATAAATAATAAAAAATTAAAAATATTTTATAATATTATCTAATTTAAAATGTATTACTGACAACTGTAAGAAAAATAGTACATTACATGATTTATAATGTAAAAATTAATAAATAAAATAAAAAATTTGGTTATCAATGTAAAAATTAATAAAATGCCTATAAATTTTGAAAAAAACACTTTAATTTATTATATGCCCAAGGGAGAACAAAAATTAACTCAAGAGATAACTATTATATGGCCCAAGAGGGGATTCGAACTTAAGATGTCAAAGTAAATAACATTAATGATAACCATCATGTCTCCTTAACATATGTATTTAAAATTGCCTATTAATAGCATATATTTACATTCTATTTTCATTTAATGATGTTTGGGAATTATCCCACATCGAAAGAAGAGTATTCAAATAAGCTATATAAATAACTATGTAATTGGAAGATTAACGCAAGTGTGAAACACTAGGGCATCAGTGAACATGCACGCGCTTGTCGCATGTGTGGCACATGTGGGGTGGTGTGTGTGGCACATGTGGGAGTGGTGTGTTGCACTTGTGATGCGTATGTGCATGTGCGTGTTGCACGTGTGGCACATGAACACACATGTGGGAGTGGTGTGTGTTGCATGTGTGGCACATGTGGGAGTGATGTGTACGTACGTGTGAATGTGTTTCTAAGGCATGAACCGTGCACGTGTGGGAATGTGTACCGCTCGTGTTACATCTGCACGTGTGGAAGTGTGTACTGCTCGTGTCACACGTACACACGTGCGGGAGTGGTGTGTGTGGCACGTGTAACGCGTACACACGTGTGAAGGCTAGAACAGGGTAGAAACCGCTAGAATCAGGTAGGAACCGGTGGTTCTGCTCTAGAACCGAGCGATTCCCGGTTTTGTGCTGGAACCGGCACATTGCTGGAACCGGCACGGCCTGTGCCGATTCCCGAGTCGAACCGGGATTTTAAATCATTGCTTTCATGTCAAGGGTTTGAGTTCCCGTAGTCTAATTTTTCAATAAAAAATAGATTTTTTTATTTTATTAAAAAATAAAATAAAGCATCGTCATGGAATGGGCGTGGCTTTTTGGTTATCATGCATGTCTCTACACTTTCACGTCAAGGGTTCAAATTCCGCCATACACAATATAACATTGTTTAATAAAAAATGGATGTTTTTTATTTTATTAAAAAGCAAAAAAAAAACCCCATCAAGGAATGGGCAGAAATTGATCCCAAAACCTCTTAAAGAAAACTATATACATTTACCAATACATTATTTGAATAATAATAATAGAAGTAGGTATCATATTATATATATACCTTATTTTGTTATTATTTATTTATTTTCAACATGCCAAGTTACAAGCAGTAAAATTAGATTTTTCAAAAATCACAATTTAAAAAAATTTGGTTTTTCAAAGACCAAAAATAGGTTGTTTCTTCTTTTTTAAAAAAAGAGTTATGAAGTTGAAAAAACAAATATCTGGGTAATAACATAAAGTTTCAGGTATTTTGGTAATAACAGGAAATATAACATATATTTACATAAATTTTCCAAAATTTAAATTAAAACATAATATACTTCCCCAAAAAGTGACACGTGGAGGTTGTAGGGTCCTCGACACCCCTTGCTTACATGACCAAAGATTGTCTACAAAGTTGGCTAGATACAAAAAGGAAAGTATAGAATGAGGCCATTTACCTTTGGTACAAGGTGGTCTTATTAATCTTGACTATTGGATGTGAAATTGGGTGGTTGCAATTATTTTATTAACTAAGCTCAAACTTCAAAAGAAATTTTGTCGAACATTTTGACACATCCAAGCTATCAAATTTCACATCGAATGAAGTAATTGTGACCATGTATGAAAAGTAAATGGTCTCATTATATGCAATCCCGATACAAAATAAGTGAATACGACAAAAAAAGTACGAGAAATAAAGCAAATACAAATAGTACATCACCATGACACACAATTTACGTGCTTCACCACGCACAGCTACTTTTATGGACTCGACTAGTAAAAATCCACTATCACAATGAAAATTGTAATTTTGGGTTGAAATATATATACCTATCTCTAAACATCAAAAAAAATCTCACCAAGCACTTCTAACCGAACAACATTATTAATTAATCTCATCCTTTCAGCTAAATCTCTAGAAGTGGATGCTTTTTAACCCAAAACCCGATGAGTATAATGCATCTCTCTTGGTCTCTCTCTTTTTGAATATTCATTCCCATGTACACCAAAAGAGGTCTCCTTCCAAAAGAGGTATCCTTCTTAAAGATCCATTCTTATGAACCTCAAAGGGGTGACCCAAAAAGTGTGGGTATTATAGCTGAAATCATCATAAAAGCGCACCCCATGCCCCCCACCCCTAAAAAATAATATAATAATAATAATAATATTATTATTATTATCATTATTATATGCTCAATTTTTTGAAAAAATGAATGTGTGGTGATTTTGGTTATCACCAAACTTAACAAAGGTCAAATACAGAATGTAGTGATAGTTTGGTGATAACCTAGTCACCGTACTTATATTTTCTTCTAAAGGTTAAGAGTAAAAGTAAATGGGCTTTCTTGAGAAGTAAGAAAATAATTTCTATATTAAGAGAATCAAGCAAACATAATACTCATCATTTTGAGGGTCACCCCTTTGGCGGTTACGGGAAATGATATCCAAGATGGAGATAGGTCTCTAAGAGAAAGAAACATGGCCTCCGAGAGAGAGGCGGTATTCTCATAGGTTTGGGTTAGTAAAACTTCCATTTCTAGAAAGAGAGTTTCTCTCGGTTGCTCTCGAGATTATCTTACCGTTTGCAGTATTGCGGTGGAAAAGAAGATATTAATCGACGGAATTGCTTTATCGGGAGAGCGGGTTTAGAAGGGAAGATCCATGAGACGTTTTTACCAATACTTAGAGAGAGGTATATCTCTTGTAACCCAAAATTGTAATTTTTATTGTGATAACGGATTTCTACTTGTTGATGCCGTGGTTATGGGAATGGATATGGAGATAGGTCTCCCAGAGAGAGAGACATGGTCTTCAAGAGAGAGGCGGTATTCTCATGGATTTTGGATTGGTAAAGCTTCTATTTCTAGAGAGAGAATATCTCCCGGTTGCTCTCGAGGTTATCTTACCGCTTGTAGTATTGCGGTGGGAAAGAAGATATTAATCGATGGTATTGTTTATCAGGAAAGTGGGTTTAGAAAGGAAGATCCGTAAAAGGTTTTTACCAATGTAACCCAAAATTGTAATTTTTATTATGATAGTGGATTTCTACTTATTGAGGCTGTGGATATAGCCATATGGGGTGAACTACTTAAATCGTGTATTGTTGTGGTGTTTTTTTTATAGTTGTTTTATTTATTGCACTCAATTTATAGTTATACTCATGTATTTCATATTTAGTCAATTGTGTAAATGATCTTCAGTGGGATTCAAGTATTTGAGATTCCTAGCTCTGCAAGCAAGGGGTTCATGAGAACCCGACATATAGGACATTATTGTAAATTTTGATAATGAAGCAAGAGATTTCATAAATTCTGAAAATTTTATGCTTTTTCTAATTTTCTTGTCAAAATTTTGGTTTCCTTACAAAGACATCTTTCTCCAACCCATTAACTTATTTTTAAAATTTTTGGGCACATGCACACACACTCAGACAATGAAGCATGGACAAGAACGAATGAAATGAAAGTTTGATTACAATTATTATCTTGTCGTTTAATTTATTTGTTAACTTTCTCATGCCCTGAGAAAGCTCACAACCATGAAATAATAATTTAATAGAACTTTTTCTTAATCTAATTCCTAAGAAAAAAATATTATAAGGAATATCAAGAGTGTATAAAAAAGAAGATAGGAAAATTTATCATCATACATGTCAAAGAAGAATTATTTTAACATTCTGCCCTTTATTTTTTATTTAATTTCAAAATAACATCAAGAGGCATGCGATGATGAGATGAACTAGTTGCAAATGTGTACAATATTGAATAATTAATATCCAGTATTTTGATAAATGAATATCTAGAGTACAATGGGATTAATAAAAGAAAAAAAGGAATTAATGGACCAAATAGGTAATAACAAGTGCTGCAAATAGAAGAACATAAGCGATCCCTTGATCAATCGTCGTGCCTGCATCCACAAAACAAACAACGAAGATTTCATTAAAAAAAAAGAAAACACGAAACCACAATTTAATTTATGAGGGTAAAGTCAAAAAAAAAAATGAAAAAAGAAAAAAAGGAGGTTCATATTAAGATCAATTGGGGAATTTTTGAAAACACAATTTAATTTGTGAGTGTAAATTCAAAAAAAAAAAACAAAAAAAAAAGTAGAATAAGTCTCATATTAAGACAACTGAAAATTTTATTTTTCTGTAGGGAAAATATAATGAAAGAAAGCTACACAGATACACTATGCTCCGTCGGGAGCATGCTTTACAATTGCTCCCTTGAGCAAAATACTCACTTGGGATTATTTTTTTTTATTTTATATTTTGGGATCCACCAGATAATTATTTTCAAAGAAAAAATATTAAATTTTGAGTCAAAGTACTCGCTTGGGACTTTTTTTTTTTATTGGAAAAAGTTTGTATAAGGTGGCAACCATAAAATGTAGAAATACAGATGCACCTCAAAAATCAATTGAAAAATGTTGTTTTAATGTTGAAAAACCCTCTAATTGATCATCTTGACATTGAGATGAATGGATATAAAAAAAAAAAAAAGATTTTGAGTCTTAGAAATAGTGCATATTGCACATATCGTCCATTTTCAAGATTTTCATATGTTTATGGATCTACTTGATTTTAACTATTTTTGAAGTTTAAAATTTTATACTTAGATATGAGAATAAATTTTGAGATAATCCTAATAATTTTTTCTACAAAAATTACATCTCATGATAAAATGATAAAATTTGGAGGTGCCCATTATTTGCATTGTTTAAGGTTACAACTTTATAGAAACCACACCTTTTTTTTCTTTGATATTTTGGGATCCGTCTAATTATAACTAGATAATTATTTTCAAAATTTTTTTTATTGAATTTTGAGTTCTTGAACAGTTACGCCAGTCCCTCAAAAAATTGGATTGCAATCTTGGGATGAGTGAGTGAGAGGTCAAATTTTTTTTTTTCTTTGAGGTTGGTAGGTGGGTTCTAGAGATCACACCCCAAAATTTAGGATCTAAATGATATTCCCAGTTTAAGGTTTGCCCGAGGAGTAGATAAATAGTATATTCCAGCAATAGTAGAAAATCATTTGGCTTCTTCAAAAGAAAAAGAAGCAATGAAATATATTATTTCTTGTTATGGGCGATAATTATCACATGCCCAGGCCATAATTCACAGCAAATAAACAAAAGAGGTTAGAGAGAGAAACAATAGAAAGAGGTTAGAGAGAGAGAGTATAGAAAAAGTACTTATATGGAGAAAGATCAAGAGAAAAGTTGGAAGAGAGTGGCTCTTTGACAAGAAGAAGAGAGCGAGAAAAACAAAGAAAATAATTTGGTTTTTTGAGGAAAGATGAAGTGATCAATTTGAAGACTTTAGCTTTAATCTCTAGAGAGAGAAAGAGATCCCTAGAGAGAGAAAGAGAGAGAGAGTACCGTCATTTGAAGGACCACCTGTTGAAGGTGTAGGAGCCATGCCCAGATCTTGGCCATAGCCCACCTGCGACATCTCAATTAGAGAGAGAAGAAAGAGCACCAGCTTCAATTTCAAGCAATTCATGGCCACCGCAAACTCTTTGCAGAGAGAGACCACCACAAAGTCTTTGTATAAAGGGAGAAAAAAGAGAGAGTAACAAAAGAAAGAGAATCAATCCTCCCCCAAAAACCTCCCAATTTTTTGTTTGGAGATATTGCTAGAGAGAGAGGAGCAAATAACGTTTCTAGAGAGAGAAAGAGAGGAAAACGAATGTTTTTAGTTTGTACCAAGAGGCTCTGGCTCGCTTTGTGGAATTGTCGTGCCATTTATAGGTTTTCTTGAGCCGGCGGCTTCCTTGAAAGTGAACTTCGTGTAGATTTATTTTTTTAGCATATATGTTATGTTTCTGTAGGAGCATATTGTGCATCTACTCACTCGCCGAGAAAACCTCTCTAGGCGGTTTTTTTAGTCTAAAAATTTGAGAACCACATAATAACTACTAGGTGATCATTTTTAAATGAAAAAAAAAATTAAATTTTGAGTTTTGTGATACTTAGATCTAGCTATTAAAAAATTGGACGGTTGCTATTCAATCTTGAGCCATAAAGTTTTTCTATCATGTAGAGTTTATTTTGGAAGTATTTTTTTGCTGAGATTATTAGATGGGTTGTAGAGCTTACATCGCAAAAAAATTGAGATCCAAAACGCATTCCTAGCATATGTTTCATTCGAGGGAGTAAATGTATAGTTTGCTTTCACAGGACTAGGAAATCTTTTGGCTAGGAAAAAGTTTATATAGAGCCAAGGTTCTAAACAATCAAGTTAGAGCCCATCACAAAAATTTCACTAGAAAAGGTTGTTTTGATGCTCAAATATCCTTAAATCGATCATCTCGACATCGAGATTCATGAGCATGAGAAAAAAAATAGATTTGAAGCTTTGAAAATAGTGCATTTTGTAACGTATTTTTGGACCGTCAAATTTCAAGTTTTCATAGGTCTGCTCAATCTATATTATTTTTTAAGCTTTAAATTTGATAATTAAATATGAAAATATATTTTAAGGCTGTCACAAAGATTTTCAATATTGAAACTACATTTCTGGATACTATTTGACGGTGTGTTTTACTTTGATTGTTTAGAGCGTTGGCTCTTTACAAAACGCACCCTTTTTTTAATTTTGATTTTGATAGTTTTGACGAGTCAAATAAGGGGAAGAAAAGTAGAAGGATCACTAAGCAAAGTCTTTTGTTTTGATTTTTTATTATTTTGTGGGTTTGATACGTGTGTTGATAAGTCAAATAAGGAAAAAAACTAATTACAAAAGTTAAGTACACGGACGTCACGCGTCTTATTATTGACGCGGATTGACTATGCGGACTGAAGTTTCTATAAATGGATGACACGTGGCGTTACAGAGGGGATTTGAACGGCCATGAGTGTCCCACGTGAGATTCTAGAAGGAAATCAGGAATGGAGTTCTTTGTAAAGGGTATAACGGTCAATTCCGGAGGCCGTCTGCAAGAGAATATGAAAAATCATAAATGTGTTTCATGTCAAGGATCAAAATGGTCATTCAAGGAAGATTAGGGGGGTATAAGGGTCATTTCGTGAGAGCACCGACAAGAGTAGTAAATAGTACTGTAACGATGAAACTAGTTTTAGTGAATGGGAGAGAGAACTAGTTTAGTCAAAATAGATATAAAATTATTTTAACCAAATTTAGAAAATAAAAAAATATGAATAATATTTTAAATATTTGAAATGTATAAAAGTGGTGGTCCAACTTTATTTCACCAATCAAAGCTAGCTAGATCGATCATCAAAATCGATATGATATTTATTGGTTTTTGAGTGAACGTCTAACTAGTCAAACTAGTTGATCCAGTCTGGTCCAATCCGGTTTTGAAAGTTATCGTTGCAAGGGTCTAGGTTTGAACCAGGATATTGAATCGGATGGATCAAGCTGAGTCCACTTCACCTAGGCCAAAGTTTGGTCTAGCTCCAATTCCACTCCAAACCAAATCAGATCGGGTTTGGTTAGGCGTAAGTTTGGTATAGGTCCAGTTCCAGCCCAAACCAAATCGAATCGGGTTTGGTTTGCGTTAGGGTTAACTGATATGTAAAATACGTGACAGGGGGCAATGATCTAATGCAGCGGTTGTATCACAGTATAATGCAACAACACTTCTAAAAAACTATATTTGTGGTATTTAGATGACAAAATTTTTTTCACACACTCTTTTTTCAGCTCAATAATCAATCCAATATAAAAAAAAAAAAAAAGTTCAATTTGAACCCTAGATGGTCAAAATGAGTCCCCTCCAACAACAAATCTAGACCATTGATTTGGTGAATTTCTAGATCTTAGCTTTTCCAAACTCAAAATCATTTTTTTTTCTATTTGAACATTGTTTATCTAATGATAATAAACTAACAAAGTTGAGAAAGAAAAAAAATCCTTCTAAGGCTTAGATCTAAGCATTTTATTAAAATAGACGGCCTATGTTAATTGGGCTAAAAAAATACTTTTTAGGTTGCGTTTTCAAAATTTTATTTTTCTTTTAATTGTTCATTAGAATAAAAAGAATGTATATTTTAAATTTTAGTTCAAACAAACAGTCCTAACATGGTTTTTGAAGATTGTTGCATTATACTACTATACAACCGTTGCATGAAATCATTGCTCTGTGACATGGGCAATGATCTAATGCAACGGTTGTATCATAGTATAATTCAACAACTATCACACCCCAAGAATTTAAAATGCTGTTATTCCTGAGATGTAACAGTTAAAACGTATATACATCTCTTGATAAGACAAATTTACAGTGGCGAATTCTTACAAAGTAATAAAAGAAAGCTTAGGCACAGCTATAATATCTTCCAAAGTTGATCTTGACGAGCACTCAAAATGAAACCAAATTTATCCTGAAAAATGTTTATCATAGTTTGATGAGTTTGGCTACTCAGTAAGTGATCATCATAATCCTAAAAATAATCATTAATGAAAGATATAAACAAACTTTAAAAATGGAGGTAATTTAAAAACAATGCGAGCACCAACATTTATAGAAAACAATTTCACTTTCAGAAACGCACAATTAAACATAATCCAAATGATTGAAATGCATATAACATTTTAAAGACAGTGTACAATTCAAAAGATACCACAAAGTTACCCTACTGGCGTCCCAAGTAGGTCACCTATATACCCCATCAGCGTCCTGATGGGTCCACTTAATCCCTATCGACGTCCCAGATAGGTCCACTTAATCCCTGCAGGTCCATTTATACCTCATCGGATGAGTCCACTTAATCCCTACCGGCGTCCCGGATACGTCCACTTCTACCTCATCTGCGAACCAGATGAGTCCACTTGCATACTTAAAATATTTTTAAATCTCTTTAAACATTCGAAAGCAGCAATATCATGTACTTAACATATCACTGAAATCATTAGTATGAATTTCACTGAAACCATTAATAACAGTCGCTTTCAATAACATTTCAAAAATAACCAATCAAATACCTTGGGCTCAAATTTACAAAGGTAGCAATTCGTAAAGACATTATAGCATAATTGCCAGTTTAATATGTATAGAAAAACTCTTATAGAATTTCAAGAATACAGAATTATCACAATTTATGAGATGTCAATTTGCAATTAAACATTTCACAACAATGTTATAATCAATTACAAAAATATTTATTTTTTTAAATAATACGGCAGTCATTGCACACGAAATTTACACTGTCTAAATATTCAAAAACAATAGAAAGAAATCTCACAATTTTACTAGCAGCAGAAATATCACATTT